TGTGGAACTCAGAACCTGGTGGAAACCTTGTGGAACCCTTGTTATGGACTGTGGAACTTTGTGGAACCCTTACCGCAGGGCTGCCCCATAGCCCTTGCAGCTTCGCGGAACCCTTGGAACCCAAAGCCCGCCAAGTAGTACTATGCCAAGCATTTACTCTGCTGCGCGCTGAGTCCCGCAACAGCCTGATCTGATTTGCCTCTGAGCCCGTGAGCAAGTCTATACAGCAAAAGTGTGCTCAAAACCAACCTTTCAACATCCAACCTACCAGTGCTTCATCCTTCATCGTTAAGTTCCCATTGTTGCAGCTAAAGTCACGGGTCCACCCTAAGGGCGCCAACCTAAGCCCTCCAACATCACGGTGCTTGAGCCTTCATGCCAATGTCCAGAACTAAAGACGCAGATCCAATCCAAAAGCTCTCTAAGCTTCCCAAAGATAGATTCCAACCTTCTGGGCTCCATGCGACCTTTCAACTCCCACCTGTTTTAATACTCCGGATGTTTTTTGAACTGGTCCGGCCGGGCGCTTGCCAATCGGACCTAGTACAAAACACCAGTTTAACTTCCTTTTGTGTATTTGCTGGCTGGGCCCGGCGTTTCTGCTGCGGACCTAGTATAAAACACCGGTTCACCTATTTAGCTGTCCGGGCATGTATTTGCAGACGCCGTAGGTGTCCCAAACTGGGGGCTTGCCCACCGCAAAACCACATACTTTCGGACACCTACACATACTTTCGGACACCTATTGTTTTGGGCCGTGTCTTAAAAACCACTTTTTTTTAGGTGTCCCAAACTGGGGGTTTGCCCACCCCAAACCGCATACTTTCGGACACCTATTGTTTTGGGCCGTGTCTTGAATGAAAACCGCTTCTTTTTTTTTAGGTGTCCCAAACTGGGGGTTTGCCAACCTCAAGCCACATACTTTCGAACACCTATTGTGTTGGGCCGTGTCTTGAAAACCATTTTTTAGGTGTCCCAAACTGAAGGCTTGCCCCAAACCACATACTTTCGGACACCTATTGTTTTGGGCCGTGTCTTGAAAACGCTCGGTTTTGCTTAGTGTTCCGCCCATGAGCAAGGCGATCTCCTGAGCCCTCAATTGACTGCTCCACTGGCTTTTCAGACGGCGCACGACGCATTGCTTCCCTCCACAGCAAATTTGTGGAGCCCTTGTGGAACTGTGGAGCCTTGTAGAACCTTACCTCAGCCTCGTGGAACCCAGTGCAGAACCTTGTGAAAACCTTTGTAGAACAACCCTTGCGGAACCTGTAGAAGTGGTGGAACCATCGCGGTGGACCCTTGTGGAACCCTGTGGAACCCTGTAAAACCTTACCTCCCCAGGGCCCAAACCCTGTTAAAAAAACATGCGGAGCTCTGGTGGAACCCTCGTACCAGGGTTCCATCAGGGTTCCACCAGGGTTCCACGAGGTTGTGGGAAGGTTCCACAAGGGTTCAACTAGGGTTCCACCAGCGAGGGTTTGCTCATGGGCGGAACACTAAGCAAAATCCGAAAGTCAAAGGTTTGGGCGCACTTTCACCACGAAGTTCTGCAAGGGTTGCGGGGTGGCGGGCAGTCCTGAAGTAAGGTTCCACGAAAATTCCACCAGAGTTCCACCAGCGCCAGAGTTCGACCAGGGTTCTACCAGAGTTGATTTGGGGTTGCACCAAAATTCCACCAGGGTTCCACCAGGGTTCCTGCGGGGTGGTCCGGATTGAGGCAAGGTTCCACGAGGGTTCAACTAGGGTTCTATCAGGGTTTTATGCGGCGGAACGCTAAGCAAAACCGAAAATCAATGGTTTTCAGCGCACTTTCATTGCAAACACTTGCTCACGGGGTCAGACAACGTGGTTGAGTGGGCTTTGGGTTCCAAGGGCTCCACGAGGGCTGCGGGCACAGGGTTCCAAAAGCGTTCCACAAGACGAGGACAGCGCAGTCCTGAGGTAAGGTTCCACAAGCGTTTCATACTGCGAGGGTTCCACAAGAAGGGTTTCACAAGGCGGCGGTGGGTCGGATTGGTAGTCTTGGTCAGGCCCCGATTGGGCCGTCGGGCCCGATCAGGGCTCGCTGGCACTGTCGCGGTCCGATCAGCCGTCGGGCCCCGGTGCTGTGCCTTACCAGCCAAAGCGACATCCTCAAGACCGGCTGTGCGCTATGATTGGTGGCTTGGATTGGTGGTTTGCTCCCGGGCCCCGGTCGAACACCGATTGCAGCGTGGGGCCCCGATCGGGGCTCGACGGCTGTAAAGCAGCAAAACCGGCGGCGCGCTGTGACTGGTGACTTGGATTGGTGGTTTGCTCCCCGGGGCCGATTGCACCGTCGGGCCGCGATCGGGGCGCGATGGCGCCGTCAGGCCGCGATCGGGGCCCGTCGGCTGCACCTTTGTGCAGTTAAGGCGGCGTCCCAAGCAAAAGCGGCAGCGCGCTGTGATTGGTGGCTTGGATTTGTGGCTTGTCTGAAGCTCTTCACTGTCAAGTCTTTCGCTAGTCTCGAACCTCAAGAACAAAAGCATTTAACTGCAGTCTTTCTTTCAACGGGGTGTCCAGAGAATAGCTTTGGAAGCGCGTGAAAAGCAGCTTGTTGGACACCTATTTCAGGACATGTTTCCATGGCCCCTCACTGTGCCGGAAGAGTCCCCAGTTCATGCGGCAACTGCTTTTCCCCAACAGCTGACAGCGCTGGGGTCTCTGCCCAGATAGGCTCCGGGGTGGGCGGCTCTGAGGAAGTTTCCACGAGGGTTCCGCGAGAATTCTGCGAGAGCTGCAAAAGCTCCGGGAAAATTCCGTTCTGCAAGGTTCATAGGGCGGTTCCAAGGAGGGTTCCAGGAGGGTTCCGCGAGGGTTATGGAGGGTGTGGCGCTGTTGGGGATATCGCCTGAGCTTATTTTGTTTTGGTGGGTGTGGCCCGGCCTCCACGGGGAGGTCTTAGTACAGAGCTGTTTTTATACTGGCCCTGTTTTTAAGGTGGTTCCAGGCTCCACCGGGCGCACCCACCCCCAAACAGAACAAAGAAAACCGAGGGCAGCCAAACAAGAAACGGGGCAAAAAACGGGGCAGGGGGGCAGCCAGCCAACACACTTGAGCCAATCAAGAATTTTGAGCCCCGAGCCCAGCGCCCGGGGCTGGCAAGCGCCCGCTGCCACTGCCATTGCTGAACAACTCCAAGCTGCCCTTCTGCCACAGCTTGACGCTGCGTCCCAAGCGCTTTTGTTTTCCCAGACTGGGCCTTTCAGCAGCCGCCCTTTCTGCAGTGCGCCGTCCTGCCCCGAGCTCACCTTCCCTTCTGACCACTTGCGTGCCCTTCTGTTGCGGCGTTTGCGCCTCCCCTTGCCCTTGTCCGCGCGCAGCTGCCGGCGCCGTCGCCCTCTCGACCCTCTTGGCGACCATCGAGCAGCCTGCGCTAGGTCTGGCTGGTGCTTTGCGGAGTCGGGGATGCCCGCTCGAGCGAGCGGCAGCTCGTGTTTGCAGGGAGGCGGGGGCCCGTGTCACTTGTAACACACTTGTGCGCGATCTGAATGTGGCGGTCGCACGTTTTGACGACCGCCGCATCGAGGTCACTGCCAACGGCTTGCCCTTATGGAATGGAGCGCAGCTTGCGGTCGACACAACCGTCGCCGCTCACGGCCAACGGTGTGGCTCGCTCCCTGCGAGGCCCTGCCCGCCCCATCGCTTTGCAGGAGGCACGGCGCCGAAAAGAGGCCACTTACCCCAAGCTTGTTGGCAACGCCCGTTGCCGCGTTGTGGGTCTCGGGGCTGAAGTTGGGGGCCGCTGGAGTGCTGAGGCCGCAGAGTTTGTGCGCTTGCTGGCCCACGCCAAAGCTCGTGCTGCCCCAGCCGCGCTGCGGCCTGCTTTGCGCGGCGCGTACGTGCACCGCTGGTCTGGCTTGCTCGCCGTGGCTGCATCCCTAGCTTTTGCTGAGAGCTTGACTTGCCTGCCGTCGCCTGGCCTTAGCAACCTTGACGGGCCCGGCCCCGACATCAGTGACTTGTTGGCGGGCGTCCGGGATGCCCCGGATGTGTCCCGCCTGCCTGCCCGGTAGGCCTTGCATTTCTTCACCCAACCAGCAGTCTGAGTCTGCGCTCACAGTACGCTTTTGCTTGTAGGACGCATACGACGAGATCTTGGAGCTGCAGCTACGAGTCAAGCCGGACACATGGGGCGGCGAAGCCAGGACACATGTCGCCTGCGTGGGAGCGCAGCGGATATCCACTCAAGAGCATTCCCGCACGCTCTTGAAAGAGATCCGCCAGCTCTTGAAGTAGAGCAGATGTAGGGGATAGCATTGGGGCGACAGCCGTGCTCCGCGTTGGGGCGCGGAGAGCGGCTGCGATCTGGACGCACTGTAGCGGCGCAGTGCTGCAACTTGTTGTGAAGGTGCTGCATTCTCGAGTTGGTCATTTGTAACTGATCCTGTTGATTGCTCTGACTGTCTAAGCGGTCTGTTGTAGTCTGGATCTTGTAGTCCCAGGTATGCTATCATCTTGTACTTCCATTCGTCGAAGTTGCATTCGCCATTCAAGCGTGGTGATGATATCTTGTATTTGTGGATTCCTTCCAGCTGCTGCTGTTGTGGTTGCTGATCTTGTTGTTGTTGTGGCATGTTACTCACTACTATGTACCTCAACCCGTGAGTGCGTGTTGGAGCTCACCCTGGGTTGTGTAGTAGGATCGTGTACCAGGGATCACTGCTCCGCTACCATGTTAAAGTTGGATTGACAGTGTAAACACCTGATGACCTGTGTGTGACAGCACGGCACTTGTTGTACTCGGGCGCAAGCAGTGTCTCTAATGTATACAGGCTCAAGGCCTTGATCATGTAAAGGTGCAAGGGAATGTACAAGGGTGGATGTATCTTAACATGAATGAATGAATGAATGAATGAATGAATGAATGAATGAATGAATGAATGAATGAATGAATGAATGAATGAATGAATGAATGAATGAATGAATGAGCCAGAACGATCAAAGCTGAGCCAAAACATTGGGGATGGTGCTTCGGCCTGGACCAGCGTAAGGACCTGCCCTGCCCGGCCATCTAGCCGCAGCTCCGGGCCTTGGCCAGCTAATCTGAGCTGCTAACTCACCGAACGAGGCGACAAGGGGCGAACAAGCAAACCAGATGTAAAATCCTTCAGCAAAGCCAAACCGTTGTAGAGGCCATCTTAGCTCATTGGAAGACTGAAACGGCATGAAGAACAGCTGATTCTTGATAGAATTGTTGGGGTTGACCAACAGTATGCTTCTTTGAAGAGAAGACCGAGATGACAGCCCTAACAGAAGTTCTAGTTTTCATGGTGAAACACAAACGTCCATCAACATTCAAGCCTGCTGAAGCCCCCGGAAGCCAGGCCAAGAGGCAGACCATGGCTCGAGCGCACAGAAGTGAAGACACTACGGAGGCAGCAGAAGCAACATCTGATGCATCATCCGCGGCCACAGCTGCCAAAATCAGAGCAAGGGGAGTCTGGTCATTCGCATCTCGAACATCTGGGCGAGCTTTGTGGGCTAGCAGCATGTCAGTCACATCTGCAGAACCCAACCGGGTGGCACTAACATGCAGCAGCGTGCGGCCCATTCCATCGGTCGCATCCAAGGCCGCTTCCGCGTTGCCCTCAAGTTTCTCAAGGGCTCTTCGGACGGCATCAGGATCGCAAGCCTTGACAGCAGCTCGGAGAGACATGGTTTGCCGCTTGGCAACCTCATGCTTCGGGTAGGCCCCCTGGTAAGTCGCCGCCGTGTACGTCCCAGAGGAAGGCCCTCCATCTTTCACTTCGCCTGGGACAGAATGGACACATGCAAGCTGAACCTTTGGCAACTGGCTCGAACCCCCTGCCTGAATTGACAGGCATCGGCAAAGGATGGAAAACCGCAGCAAACTCATGATGCCAGCCAATCACATTGCGCCATGGCAACCTTCCCAGTGATGAAATGGCGTATTTGAGAATTCGTGATGGGTGTGTATTGATATTCTGGTCCATTTTGGATTTCGGTGCTGACCGTGCAGTTATGTTCTGGCTCGATGAACACGTCGGCCAAGCTCACAGCACGTGCAAGGTGCCGCAAATCCAGCGTGCGCATGCGAGCAGATCGTTTTCGAGTACAGAACTGTTAACACCACTCCTTCCAAGGGATTCTAAGCCGCAGGCAAGCATCAGTGGACTCTAAAGGAACGAATCCAAATTTCGCAATGTGATGCTGATGGGATGAAGAGTTTCAGCCAGAGATTCAGATGTGACTGGCCGTCAAATGCTACGTTTGTGAAACAATCGCAAAAAATGCGATGCATAATTGAACAAACTACAAATTTGGAAGATGGCGCAATAGCAGCTAATGCATGCGCCAGGCCGGGAGAGACATACCTCTCACTCATTCAATCATCATCAAACATGACGATGGGGACATGGGTCAAAGTAAGCCTCGGTTCTCAAAGTGGATCTGGCCGAGGCTGCACAATGGCGTTGACGAATTAAGGACCACACTGCGGCTCAGGACCTCCGGAAGCACCTAGAGTTCAGCGAGGCAACGAGGTAAGATTGAGGTCGAATCTCCGAATCTCAGAGCAGCGCGGTTGCCCAGAGCCTTGGGCATGCATTGCGCTGCACCGTTTCCGCGCAAACGCGCACCAAACGCACCGAAGCTCAGCACCTGGCCGAGCTTTGGACCCGCAAGTCGTGCGCATCTCCAGGTGATTGCGACCTGCGAAAAAGATCGTAAAAGATCGTAACAGCATGGAAAGGCCACAGAGCCCACAGAGCTCTATGTGGCTGTTACGAAGAAATCCACTTCACAGCAAGCTTTGGCTGCCTGTGCATGAGCATTGGAATGTCGGCGCTGGCTGGCCCCAAAGAAGTCCTGACGAAAAACCAAGGCCCTACCCACACCAAACAGCACCCGCCTGAGCTGCAACTGAAACCTCCCAAGCCAATCGGGAAGCTGCCACTGTTTCGCGCTGGGTTCCGGACTTTCGCTGCTGCTGCAGCTCCATCTGGCGCTTCTGGTGCAACCTGGGATGCGTTGCCGTCATCGTCAAACGCAGACACCGGCTGCCCGCCTCATGTGACGAGCGCGCTCCTCCATGTATGCATCCTGCAACTTTCGCAAATCGTCCTGCCAGGCGCGTCTGGCATGTTCAACTCAAGAATCATGCCTCGACCTGACTTAGCGGAGTAGCCCCAGCCGGCGCAGCACTCTTTGGTGGCCTCGCGTTGCTACGAACCTTTTGCCATTCGTCACTGTGTCCATTTCGCACCCGATTTTCAGCAGAGGCTGTGCCTCGCTGGCTTGATGCTCGGGCTGCTTGCCACACGTTGGCTTGCCTTGCTGAAAAACTCAAGCGACCAGCAATGCACCGAAAGCCAACATACAATGGCCTGGCACAACTTCAGCTAGCAACCACCCAGAAACATGGTGCGAGTCCTCCATGGTTGAAATGGATGCATCCACATCGTCGTTGTCGTCCGCATTTTGGCAACATTTCCTGCCAAAAACACTAGCATTTCTGCTTTGCAACAGCCTGCAAAACCTCCTGCCTCTGGCACGAGTTGGCCACCGAATGTGACGCGCCCATGTTGGGCAAAGTGCGGCTTGGGCTTGTTTCCCTCACTCAACAGCCAAAGCGACGACAAATACAAGCAATACACAGCTTGGAGCAGCCGTTGATGCGCATACCACAAGCCGAAGACGCAATGGGCAGGGTCAACGAGGAGTGTGGCAGCACCTCTTTTCTGGTTTCTCTTGACCTGCCTGACTTGCTGGCCTTTTTTGTTTTCCCGAAAGCATGGCGAAGGGTTCTTCCACTGGGTTCACTTGAGTTGCTCTCATGAGAGTCATTACAAGGTGTCATTGCAAGGAATCATCATCATAAAAGTCAACATTGCAAGGAGTCATTGCAAGGAGTCATTGCAAGGAGTCATTGCAAGGAGTCATTGCAAGGAGTCATTGCAAGGCATTGCAAGGAGTCATTGCAAGGAGTCATTGCAAGGAGTCATTGCAAGGAGTCATTGCAAGGAGTCATTGCAAGGAGTCATTGCAAGGAGTCATTGCAAGGAGTCATTGCAAGGAGTCATTGCAAGGAGTCATTGCAAGGAGTCATTGCAAGGAGTCATTGCAAGGAGTCATTGCAAGGCAGTCATTGCAAGGAGTCATTGCAAGGAGTCATTGCAAGGAGTCATTGCAAGGTCATTGCAAGGAGTCATTGCAAGGAGTCATTGCAAGGAGTCATTGCAAGGAGTCATTGCAAGGAGTCATTGCAAGGAGTCATTGCAAGGAGTCATTGCAAGGAGTCATTGCAAGGAGTCATTGCAAGGAGTCATTGCAAGGAGTCATTGCAAGGAGTCATGGCAAGGAGTCATTGCAAGGAGTCATTGCAAGGAGTCATTGCAAGGAGTCATTGCAAGGAGTCATTGCAAGGAGTCATTGCAAGGAGTCATTGCAAGGAGTCATTGCCAGGAGTCATTGCAAGGAGTCATTGCAAGGAGTCATTGCAAGGAGTCATTGCAAGGAGTCATTGCAAGGAGTCATTGCAAGGAGTCATTGCAAGGATTGCAAGGAGTCATTGCAAGGAGTCATTGCAAGGAGTCATTGCAAGGAGTCATTGCAAGGAGTCATGAGAGTCAAGTTGCAAGAGCAAGTGCATGGAGTCAAGTGCAAGTTGCAAGTGCAGTCAAGTTGCAAGTGCAAGGAGTCAAGTGCAAGTTGCAAGTGCAAGGAGTCAAGTGCAATTGACTTGCGAGGAGTTAAAATCTCTTCTTAGGGCGGCGGGGTAGTGCCGACGACACTACACGAAAATCGACCCTCTGCGGGGATCGGCGTGGTCGAGGTGCAAAAACCCATGGTTTTTTTGCGATGTCTAAAGTTCCCGCGCGACCCTCTGCGGGGATCGCCGTGGTCGAGGTGCAAAAACCCATGGTTTTTTTGCGATTTCTAACATGCTCGCGCGACCCTCTGCGGGGATCGGCGTGGTCGAGGTGCAAAAACCCATGGTTTTTTGCGATTTCCAACATGCCCGCGCGACCCTCTGCGGGGATCGGCGTGGTCGAGGTGGAAAAACCCATGTTTTTTTTGCGATTTCTGCGGTGGCCGCGCAACCCTCTGCGGGGATCGGCGTGGTCGAGGTGCAAAAACTCGAGGTGTTTTGCGATTTCTGCGGTGCTCGCGCAACCCTCTGCGGGAATCGGCGTGGGCGAGGTGCAAAAACTCGAGGTTTTTTGCGACTTTTGTTGTTCGAACTGGTCCTCGGGAGTTGTCTCGTGGTTCGCGCGCCTGCTCCCGGAACCGGCGGGTCGCAGGTTCGATTCCTCCCTGGTCCGCGGGCGGTCGTCGCAAGATGCAACATTTTTTTTAAAGCAACTTGCGCAGAGCAACTTGCGCAGAGCAACTTGCGCAGACCAACTTGCGCAGACCAACTTCCACCGACCAGTTTGCGCAGAGCGCCTTGCCTAGAGCAACTTGCGCAGAGCAACTTGCGCAGAGCAACTTGCACAGAACAACTTGCACAGAGCAGCTTGCACAGAGCAACTTGCAGGGAGCGCAACTTGCACAGAGCAACTTGCAGGGAGCCACTTGCAGGGACCAACTTGCCGGAGCGACTTGCGCGGAGCAACTTGCGCAGAGCAACTTGCACAGTGCAACTTGCGTAGAGCAACTTGCGCAGACCAACTTGCACCGACCAGTTTGCGCAGAGCACCTTGCCTGGTGCTGTCTCGCGCCAACTTGCACACACTGCAACTCGCACAGAGCAACTTGCGCAAAGCAACTTGCGCAGAGCAACTTGCGCATGTGTCAGGCCGGGGATAAACAAGTCTGCCGTACATCGTGGGGAGTTATGCTTTCAGGCCACTCACCCTGTAGGAGTTTGACGCAAGGAGTTCTCATCATGAAAGAAGTTGCGAGGAGCATGACGCACACGGCTTATTTACGGGCATGGCGCACACAGCTGGTTGTTATGTGGCATCTTGCGGATGAGATTTGGCTCAAACAGAAGTCATGGAGCTGGAAGTAGCTAGGCTTCAGGCTGGCGCGGCCCAGCATGGCAAAGCGTGGCTGCAGCAAGAGGTGGCGGCCAAAGCCCGACCCCAACTTCGCGCACTCGCCCGACAGCTGGATGTGCGCCAATGAGCACCAGATGGCACCATGTCGTGCTTCTTACGGACGGGTTGCCTCATCTCATGGACAGCGCAGGACGAGGCAGAGCTTGTCGTGGCGACGCTTCGTGCTGGTTTGTCGGAGAAGGGCAAGGCGTGGCTGCAGCAAGAGGTGGCGGCCAAAGCTCAAGCCCCACTTTGCGCGCTCGCCCGACAGCTGGATGTGCGCCAATGGGTCGCAGGCAGCAACGTGACCAAGGCAGACCTAGCTGCCGCTGTCGTGGAGCAGCTGTGCCCACAGGCCAGGATCGAAATCTGGAAAGTTTTGCTGGTGTTTGTTTTGCTGTGCTGATTGTTGCCAGGAGCCAAGCAGTTCTGCGGCTTCGCTGACGCCGGTGTCTCGACTTGGTCGTAGTCGGTGTTTGACGCTATTGTTTTTGATGATGTTTTGCGGATGGCCGAAATGTAAGCACCAGATGGCACCATGTCGTGTTTCTTTCGGACGGGTTGCCTCATCTCATGGACAGCGCAGGACGAGGCAGAGCTTGTCGTGGCGACGCTTCGTGCTGGTTTGTCGGAGAAGGGCAAGGCGTGGCTGCAGCAAGAGGTGGCGGCCAAAGCCCGACCCCAACTTCGCGCGCTCGCCCGACAGCTGGATGTGCGCCAATGGGTCGCAGCCAGCAACGTGACCAAGGCAGACCTAGCTGCCGCTGTCGTGGAGCAGCTGTGCCCACAGGCCAGGATCGAAATCTGGAAAGTTTTGCTGGTGTTTGTTTTGCTGCGCTGATTGTTGCCAGGAGCCAAGCAGTTCTGCGGCTTCGCTGACGCCGGTGTCTCGACTTGGTCGTAGTCGGTGTTTGACGCTATTGTTTTTGATGATGTTTTGCGGATGGCCGAAATGTAAGCACCAGATGGCACCATGTCGTGTTTCTTACGGACGGGTTGCCTCATCTCATGGACAGCGCAGGACGAGGCAGAGCTTGTCGTGGCGACGCTTCGTGCTGGTTTGTCGGAGAAGGGCAAGGCGTGGCTCCAGCAAGAGGTGGCGGCCAAAGCTCAAGCCCCACTGATGTGCGCCAATGGGTCGCAGGCAACGTGACCAAGGCAGACCTAGCTGCCGCTGTCGTGGAGCAGCTGTGCCCACAGGCCAGGATCGAAATCTGGAAAGTTTTGCTGGTGTTTGTTTTGCTGTGCTGTTGCCAGGAGCCAAGCAGTTCTGCGGCTTCGCTGACGCCGGTGTCTCGACTTGGTCGTAGTCGGTGTTTGACGCTATTGTTTTGGATGATGTTTTGCGGATGGCCGAAATGTAAGCACCAGATGGCACCATGTCGTGTTTCTTACGGACGGTTGCCTCATCTCATGGACAGCGCAGGACGAGGCAGAGCTTGTCGTGGCGACGCTTCGTGCTGGTTTGTCGGAGAAGGGCACGGCGTGGCTCCAGCAAGAGGTGGCGGCCAAAGCTCAACCTCAACTTCGCGCGCTCGCCCGACAGCTGGATGTGCGCCAACGGGTCGCAGGCGGCAAAGTGACCAAGGCAGACCTAGCTGCCGCTGTCGTGGAGCAGCTGTGTGGCCAGGCCGGGCTCCAAAGCTGCGCAGTCTTGTGTTTTTTGTTTTGAGTGCGCATGTGTGTTGCAGGGTTCTCAAGGTTGCTGTTTGGAATAGCTGCGGTGGCAGGAGCCGAGCAGTTCTTCGACTCCTGCGGTCACAGTTGCGCGCTTGCGAGAAGTGGTAGCGGCCAAAGGAGACCAGGGGCCTGCTGCTCTGCGGGCGCTGCTTCGCCCGCTGAAGCTTCGAGACGCCAGCCCATCGCTGACGGGCTTGGCCACAGATCTTGGCGTCGATGTCACGGGGCTGACGCGCCACGCCATCATCTAATTCTGCGAAAGCGCAGCCGCTGGCGATGTCGCACCCCGAGAGCATGGCGATGCAGTCCAAATTTCCAGTGGCTAGGTCTGACTTCGCAGTCCTGGAAAACCAGTGCGTGGGCAGGGAGCGCATCGACATCATCGGGGTGATCACCAGCTGCGACGTGGCTCCGACCACGAAAGCGAAGGCTAATGTCTGGCTGAAGGATTTGACCGGAAAGGGCATGCTGTTGACTTTGTGGGGGGAGAAGCATGTCGACAAGGCTCAGAACTTCCAGGCTGGGTTCGTTCTGCAAGTGGACAACGCGCTGCTGCTCAAGCGCGGAGAAAACAACATTGAGGCTACAGCCGAACACTGGCTCGAGAGTGACAAGCACAGCTTTTCTTGGCTGCACTGCGATCCAAGAGGTGAAAAGGCAGACAAGCTCCGGGCTTTGGACACCAGTCGAGGCGAGGCCATCTCCGTGCCTTGGACTCCTTCTCTCAGCGTGGGCGGGCGCTTGTCTTCTGACTTGTCTGCCTGCTACGTAGCCTGCGCAGCCAACATGTGCGCGTGTGGCCTGGCCGTGGCGCAAGGAACTATTCAGGCTGAGATGTTGGCGCAAGAAATTGGCATATTTTCCCTGCAATGAGGGCGTATTTTCTGTAGTGATCCATGTAGTGTTTGCCTTGAACGCTCCTCGCGAGGACAAGCTAGAGGTGGCGACGCACGCGGCTTGGCTGGTAGGCGTTGTGGGAGATCCTGTGTACAGGCCATGCCGAGTGTGCGGCACGAAAGTCAACCCGGACACGGGCAAGTGCAAGCGAGCAGACACGAGCTCTTGCCCCAGCCAGCCGGACCTTGCCTTGAAAGTGCTGGCCACAGCGCACATTGCTGACTGGAGTGGCGCGGTGGAGAACGTGCTCATTCGCGGCGAGCAGTTGGCGGCGCTCGCCAGCGTGGACGACGAAGCCAAACTTGCGGAGCTGATTGCGGAGAAGGGCACGCAGGCGCTGTGCTTCAAGGGGCCTTTTGATGTTCGACCAGCAACAGCTCCGAACATGACTCAAGGTCGTTCGGCGCGACGACCTGCGGAAACCACGCAAGTGGATGCGTCTCAGACCAGTGGCGCTTCCCCAGACCGAGGCCGGCGTGCCCACGCAGGCTTCGCAGTTCCAGCTCCTAGCTGCGAGGCCTTGAGTTGGCAAACTCTACGACAACTCGGACCGGCCTACGGTCAAGAAGGTGATCCGCTTGGAAAGCCAGCGCGCGGAAGGCGCTGTGTTGCCAGCGGCAGATCCATATCGAGATCTCTCTTGCTCTGACTTGGGCTCGCGGCAACGTCTTTGCCTCCCACATCTCCATGCTGGCGGTCGCGAAGGATGACCCGGACATCAGAGAGGTTGACATCAACGGGGACAAGCATTTGGTGACATCCCACCATCATGTGGTGCCATTTCCGGAGATTGACGGCGCCAAGCCGTTTGCCGTGGAGGCATTTTGCCACTTCAAGAACTGCCATCTCTTCAACATGGCTGATGGCGCCCCGCGCTTGCTTGTGGGAAAGCCGATCCAAGATTGCGACACAGACCTCATGACTTGCCATGTCGAGTGGATGGCCAGGGCAAATGACGATGTTGTTCGCTCTGTGGTCGCGGAAGGAGACGCGGTGTGCCACCTGCTAGGAATGAAGCCAGAGCTGGCCTCAAAAAAGCGCACGTCTGAGATGTTGGTTGCAAGCACGCCGTCAAAAGTGACGTGCTCTTCCTGGAGTGATGGCAGCTAAGGCTTGCAACGCACCGACGCTGCTCGGACAGACGCTGTCGTGCAGAACTCCGATGCACGCCGGGTTTTGCTGGCTTTTGCTGGCTTTTGCAAAGCTTTTAATCATGCAGACGGTCATACTTTTTGAAAGCGATCAACCGGAAAAAAAGGGTCGTGCGTCGCAGCCTGCGCCACTGTAGCAGCATGCCTCGCGTGCAGCACTTGGCCTCTGCGCATTGTGTTGCAGGCGCGGGAGCCAACATCCACTCAGCGAGCTGCTGAGTCCGAAAAAAACCAAATGCTTGAAGCAAAATCCTTCCCATCCGGAAAAGTTAGCACTGTTGGCTCATTGAGTGAAACAAAAGCACGCGTCAGCCCGCGCGACGTGATCTTGTTGCGGAAGGCGGAGGCCACGGCAGCAATCCAGGCTGATGCCGTCGATGGCTGGATCGCCAGCGCGCCGCCCGGCTGCAAGCGCGAGTCCAAGGAGGGAAGAAGCAGGAGCTGGGGCTGATGATGTCATGTTGTCAAGCTGCCATCAACGAAAGCCTGTTCCCCTATGGCTGAAGCCGCTGCAAACATGAGTACGAATGGAAAAAAGTACTGGACAGCCCGCAGTGGTTTTTCAGCCACGCAGGACGCAGCCATTGGACCAAGCGTGTCATGGTCGTGATGGTCACTTGCGAGGAGTGAGCCAGGGCGCGGCCCGCGGCAGGAGCCAAACGCAGCAGCCATGGTCAGGATTTTGGAGCTTGATTGCATTCAAGCTTGCCAAGGTCGATGGAGTACGGAAAAAAAGGCCGACCTCGCTTGCGATGTTATGCTTTCGGGCCAACCGTGGTCTAGTTTTTTGAGGGATGTGTGCAAACGTCTGCGTCTGCATGCTTCCAAAAGCAAAGCAGCTCGCGGAGACAAAAAACCATCTCTGGCAGTCTTTCTCTAGAGGACGTCTGGCCTTGAAAGCCTGTTGCCGCCATCATGTTTTGTCAAGCCTCCGATCCTCCCACCGCGACAATAACAAGCCCCCAAGACATGAGTGTGTTCCATACAACGAGCTACAGAATCCGCTGACTTCGCTCTGCGCAAACGCAGGTTTGGACTGCAAGCAGTTTCAATTCTCCTTCATCCGTTTCTTCGCGAGGGCCCCGCTTCCGGGAGTTTGCGACGCTCGTCACAGCCCTTGTCGCTCGGTCTGCCACGCTCTGGCCACTCAAAGTCCGTGGATGCGGAAAGCCAGCCTGCAACGCAAGTCATCCTGGCTAGCGCAGGCCCGCCCTCGGCTCGGCCCTGCAAAACGGCGTCGCTCGCGCTGCAGGCTGTTGGGTGAAAGCTGCAGCAACATCAGCGGCTCAACTGGGAGCGCCTGAAAACCCGCAGCAAGCAATTCACTCAAATTCAAGCTCTTCCGCGCCCTGACTGCAGACTGCCGCGGGACGGGCATTGCGGGACCTGGGCAAAGCCCGGCTGCTTCTAAACACCAATTGCGCCAGATAATGTTTTTGGCGCCTGCCGGATGTGCGCGCTGGAAGCGCTGTTGCAGCTGGCTCTAGCTTTTGCTGGAGTGCCCGCGTTGGCTGTGTGATGAACAGACGGCTTCAACCAATGAACTTCCGAGGTAGGGCGCAAAAACTTGCAGCAGGCGCGCTTGTTAGTTTGGCTTCTGGCAGCCGCTGGCCCGCGTGGACGAAGCTGCAACTTTCACCGCACACCCACTGGTGTCCAGATGCCTGAGAGGGCTATTTGCAGGGCACGCCCTTCTCGAACACGCACAACGCCAAAGGCTGGCCGTCCGGAACAGCCATGGATCCCATGGCCGGAGAATCCATGACCCGCCACGCCAGCTCGCGCCCTCCTGCAGGCAGCGCGCTACGGGGAAGCTGAGCAAGGTGGAACGCGTGTTCCGGCAGGGCCAGCTCCCGCTGCGTCAAGCCTTGTCATGTGACAGCTTCATGTGAGTCCTGCTTGGGTGCAGACGCATGTGATTGGCGTTGTGCGCATTGCAATTTTCATGTGCGTGCGATGTTTTTTCCGGAGTTGCAGGTACACGTGATGCAGCAGTTGATGAATATATGCGTGACATGAGATGCGGGAATCAATGGCATGGCTGGGTCACCTCTTTCAGTTTGTACACCATGCACAAGTGGCAGTGAGAGGGGACAAGGGCAAGCAGATGAGGTGGAGATTGCAAAAGCAGCATTTGAGCAGAAAGGAGGAGGTCAGGCTTTTCTGAAGTTGTGGTGTATTCTCAGAACTCTGGAGCAACCCCAGAGCAAGCTCAAAGGTTGGGCAACATGGCGAAGAGGCAGCTAAAGTGCAATTGATGCTTGGTAGAAGCATGACTGCGATGCAAAGCAGGTCGCAACTTGCAAATACAAAAGTAGTGCGCAAAGTTCACGCCAATCCCCGCAGAGGGTCGCAGGGGCATCTTGTAAATCGGGAAAACACATGGTTTTGCACGTCGACCGCGCCAACTTCCGTTGCGCGCGCGTACTGCAAGAGTCGCAAAAAAAAGCCAGTTTTCACGCCGATCCCCGCAGAGGGTCGCGCGGGCATGTTGTTGTTTTGTTTTGATTTTTTTGGCGTTGCAGTGAAACGCGCGCAGCCGCCGAGGCGACACGCCAGGCGCGCCGAGTGAGGCGCACAGCCACAAGAGGGAGAAGGCTACAGCGAGGACATCGGCTAGGTCGGGCTCGCCCGCAGCCGTTGGCCGCACCGGGCAGGGCCCACCACCAAGCAAGGTGGAAGCGAGAGTGCGCTGGAGCGCGACGACGTCCACCAGCGCCAATGCCAGCCCACAGCAGCCGGGGGCGCGCGGAGGGTCCGAATGCGCACTAGCCGGTTCACAAGGCTATGCGCCTCGTCGCTCCACCTGCTGCCGGTCTTGCAGGCGAGAAGCCGCTGAGGGCCAGGACGCCGCAGCTCGGGGTACCTCGCTTCCTTGCACCTACGCGCGGTAGCGAGCGCAGCTCCGTCCTCATTTGCGGTCCGTGCCTGGGCGCGACCGTCGCGCCGAAGCGGCGCAACAAGGGTGGCGCGTGGTTCCATCGGGCGTCGCAAGCCATTGCTGCCGGACAACCCGGCCCTCAGGCCCTCCCGCGCGACCCGCGCCCAAGCCTGCTCCAGCAAACAACCCGAAAAATGTCCGTCTGCATTGGCCGGACATGACGGTCGCTCCGTCCAAGTGCCTTACAGCCACCGCTGCTTCACGAAGGTATGGCGCAGCCGCTTCGTCAAAAGCCGCTGCATCCAGGCGACGCTGGAGCAGAACTTGCATGGGCCGGGAGGACGGCGAGCAGCGAGCATCCAGCAACTGCGGACGCCGCCGGTATGGCTGCCCCCTTAATGCCCCCCGAGCACATCCGGGGCCGCCTGTAGATAAGTTGCCTGCAGGAGCACACGGAAAAAGGCGCGCGAAAGGAGAAAAAAAAACGTTGATTAGTACACAAGGAAAGTAGACAGTGACATGCATGGAGGCATGTGGAGGGAATGTTGTTTTTCTTCGCACGCCTTTTTCCGTCCAGCGGCAGTGAGACCCAGGGAGCCCGCAACCCCCCCACCCGAAATGGCCACCGAGAAAGGCGAACGAAGCGCGCGCACGCCGACGTGGCGACTAGCCGCGCAAAGGCAGAACCCTGGGCCCAGACGGGACAGCCAAAGCAAATACATCGGCGAGGTCAGGCTCGCCTTCCGCAGGGCGCGGCAAGGGCGAGGGCGCGCTGCAAGGCGGCGCTGAGCAGCGCCCACCACCTGCGGCGCCAGCCCGCCTCGGCCGCGCGGCGGACGGCCTGAGGCGCGCGGAGTGCCTGGAGCCGCACCAAGCGGTCGACTGGGCCGCACGCCTCGGGGCCCCACCGCCCGCCTGTTTCACAAGCAAGAACGACCAGCCAGGCCGGCGAAGCTCCGGGTACCGCGCCTCCTTGCGGCGCCGCGCTGCCGCAATGGCCGCGCCGTCCTCCTCGGCCGCGCGTGGCTACGGTCGGCCGTCGTGACGGAGCGGAGCAACGAGCGTGGCGTCGCAGCACAGCGCTTCGCCCCAAGCGCGTGACAACCTAAAGAACAAGATCCAGGCGGCGCCTGTCCTGCGCACTGACGCCTGGCGCAGAAGTGTTGGCCAACCACTGCTGAGAGACAACCCTGCCCTCGGGCCCCAGACCCTCACGCGCGACGCGGACCCAGGCGCGGCGGGCCAACAGTCCGCTGCGCGGGCACGCTGCTGCATAGTCGCCCAAGACATCGAGCACGGCGCCGCACCCCGGGAACCCATCGCCTCCGCAATACCGTTGCGTGAGGGGCAGCGCGAGGCGCAGGCGCCGGCGCAAGGCGAAGTGCATGTGCGCCGGGGGCAGGTCAGTCGGCACAGCCGCAAGCCAAGCCCCCGCATGCGGGCCAGACTGCGAGCGGAGACAAGCGCAGTCGCTCGGCCGCATGTGTGGCAGAAGCTCGGTCTCGCAAAAATGGGAGTCGAGTGCGCGAGACGCGAGAAGCTCCCAACCATGCGGCCAATCGTCTGGTTCACTGTCATCCGCTACAGCGGGAGGGGCCGCGCGCGCAAGGAGGTCCTGCCAGGACGGACGCTCGGGCCAGTGGCGCCGGAGCAAGTCGCCAGCGACGGCCGCCTCGTGGCAGCTTCGTCGTCTCGAGGAGCTCCCGCACACATCGCCCCGCCGCATCAGGACGACGCTGGAGCATGACCAGCAAGGAATCGGCCCAGGCCGCCCAGTAGGCGGCAGGCGCAGCGCGTGTGGCACACAAGAGGCCAAGGCCGCCCGAAAAGCGGGCATCCGGCCAAGCGGCGCCGCGTTCGCCGAGGAGCGCTTGCAGCGTGCCCCAGACCGCATGATCATGTGGTTCCGCGTATGCCGCCGACTGGGAAGGCGGGACGGTGCGGAGCAAGTGTTGCGTTCT